GATAAAAATATATTTGAAGTAACCATGTAGGTCGACTTTTTTCAACGTGACTCAGCATGGTAAAATTAAGGTGACATGTTTCACGTGCTATTATGCTACTCTGCCTTCTCTGATGGGCAAACAAACCACAAAAAAACAAACCTAACTATCCAGACGTCCAAACTAAATGTACAATCTGCCCACTTAAACGTAGGAAAAGACCAAAAAATGTACTTTTTTGGCAAAAGAAACTTACCATTTTTGTGGCCGATCAAGTCAATTGTGATTGGTAGTAACTGCTGTAACACGGTACCGGTGACTCATCTGAACACAGCGAGTGTGTTGGTCAGTGGATTTTGAAAAAGAGTGTCATACTTCGTATATGGGAATGATTTCAAAACAAAATGGCGGGTGTTTTGTATCAGTTCGGCTTTCATGGAAGAACTTTAGCGGTTACATCGGATGAAGATTGACAATGAACAACAAATCTGAGCCTGAGGGACGCAGAGGTGCTGATCAGTCAAGGAAACCAAGAACACAACTTCAGAAGAATTCAGAATTCTTTGAAAAATTGGAACAACTCGAGCAAAAGTAAGCCTACATCATTCCTCTGAGCTGATATAAACAATTAAACTGCAAGACACCTTTAAATCAAAGTTAATACAGCACTTGGGGTAGTTGGAATGTAAGGAGTCCTTCGTGAGTTCTCGTATGATTTTTACCTCATGTAGTTTATTATTTTTTTTATCGTATACATAAATGACTTGAGCAATGCTTCAAACCTCGACTCAGTCTTATTCGCAGACGACACGAATAAATTTATTCATCTCACACAAAGACCCAGATTTCTTAATTAGTNATTCTTTGAAAAATTGGAACAACTCGAGCAAAAGTAAGCCTACATCATTCCTCTGAGCTGATATAAACAATTAAACTGCAAGACACCTTTAAATCAAAGTTAATACAGCACTTGGGGTAGCTGGAATGTAAGGAGTCCTTCGTGAGTTCTCGTAAGATTTTTACCTCATGTAGTTTTTTTTTTTTTTATCCTATACATAAATGACTTGAACAATGCTTCAAACCTCGAGTCAATCTTGTTCGCAGACGACACGAATAAATTTATTCATCTCACACAAAGATCCGGATTTCTTAATTAGTATTCTAAACTGCGAATTAATTAAACTGTCAAATTTGTTCAGAGCAAACAGACTCTCTTTGAACTTAAACTATTTAAAACATATCTAAGAAAAGTCGTTGGTTATTATAAAGCATAAGCATAAGCTTAATAGTATTA